ACTGACAACAATAAGCACGAATTGGATATTTTCAAAATAATAAATGTCCTAAACGCAAATTATGAAATGACCCACAGCCTATACTACAGAAACCCGCATGTTACGCTGAATCCGCAAACACTGAAATCTGGGTAGAATCTAATACCTTGGACTTAATTAATTCCTGTGAAATGTTAGAATCTGGAATGAGACAGATAACGAAATTTCATAAGCAAATTCTTACTAAATTGAATATTTAATAACGAAATAATTCTTCAATTTAGTAAGAACTTATTCTCCATCTGTACCTACATGTGATAGTTTTAGAAAAAATGACTTAATTTGTTGATATAAAAAATAAAATGTAATTGACACTTTATGGGTAGCAAAAATGATCATGAAAATCGTTTTAAACCGGATATCACGTCACCGTTCTTTTTGGATTTTACTACCACCGGTAATGTAATACGGACGGTCTCGATAGAATACCCTTAATTAAATACAACTTATCGAACACTGACATAAATAACTGCCCATTTCTTGTATGTAATCGACAAATAACACACGTACAGATAAACGAGGCCCATTACACTGAAATCGATCGTAATAAAATTTGTGTCAGCCTGATGCCGTATCCATAAATTATTAATGTAAATATATGAATCGGGATATGACGCGTTGGGATACAAACAGAGTTATAAATTATTCTCGCGCTTTATTTATTTATTACCAGTTTTGGCTGGCCGATGATAACTTAATACTGAATGATAGATATTCAATAACTCGTATATAATTAAGAGGCATATCAATGAGCATTTATGGATTATAGTTCCAACATACAATCAATTGCAAATGGTTGAAACGTTCGTAATATATTTGATCGAAGAACCATCTTGAATACGTTAGTAATAAATATATAACCGTTTTTTACTACATGCATATGAATATAAATATGGTATGTACACCAAAATATCATTTTTTACAATTTTTGTCTGTCTGTTTGTTCCGGCTAATCTCTGAAATGGCTAGATCGATTTTGACGGGACCTGTTTTGGCAAGTAGCTGACGTAATAAGGAGTAACTTAGGTATTTTAGAAAAATAATGTTAAATCCCACGCGGACGAAGTCGCGGGTGTAGCTAGTCAAACATAAAATTCACGTCATGATCGATCTATTCGTTTTGGATTTACGACGCAATACACAGACAGAAAATCACGTGATACTATAACACCCTACTTTTTGCATCAAAGGTTAAAAATTAAATTAATTTTACTGCATTTGCAAGCTTTCGAATTTTATAAACTGTGCGGTCTCATAATTGATTTATCGAAATATCTAAAATTTCAATGATTTCCACTTTTCTTTTTGGTGATTTAGTATCAAGAACAATATTTCTGGTTTTTAACAGACTTTTAATGCTAATCCTGTCTAAGTCCTTGCACCATGTTCAGTTTTATTCAGCTAATTTTGACGTATGACGATGTTCATTTAATTCTGTAGCTAATCTTGTTGAGTCCGTCCTCTCTGGAATTCTTGGTAAATACGCCACATGGCTCAAAATGACCTGATTTTATTTTCCTCGTTCCACTGACGTTTCTCCAGGGTGTTCCGTTGGCGTTGCAGAACTATTCAATCATAGGTATTTATAAAATAATTTATCCTGACTGATGAAAGAAATATTTTAAACTTAGATTTAATTTATAATGTACCTAAAATGTGTAAATATTTAACTTTACAAACAACGACACTACACGAGTAAAACCACTCGTAAAAGTAAGTAATTGATAAAAAATAATAACCTCATTCAATTGCTTATATATGGAGTAGAATAGAATAGAAAATTATTTATTCAAAGAAACTTTTGAATAGTCATTACTTATTTTTTAATTTACCGCTTATTCGGAAAGCTGTCTCATTACAAGAAGAACGAGCTAGAAACTTGCGCGTTGCTCTTATAAGTAATTGTTCTAACTTTACATTAAGTTAAAATATGTGAATACAAACTACTCTTACTAATTTATTAAAGTCCAAAAATTAAATACACTATCAACTGGTTGAGTAACTAAATAAGATCAAATAGAGTAGACCAGAAGCATCAATCGTTCACGAGTATGACGAATGAGTCAGCCATGACTACCCTCGACCATATTTTAGGGAGCACAATAACACGACCCACTGTGCCGCCACATGTCTGGTCACTTTAGTGAGCATAACTGCTCTAGACATTCGAAATACCATATAGTAGTTATAGTAATCGCACTTTACATAAGAATGCCTGCGGCAATCAATACAAAAACCGCTACGCTATCATATTTCTCAATTATTATTCAATGAAAGCCATTTTGTTTTGTATTTTTTAACTCAACTGCAAGGGCAAAAACACTGACGACTCAACTGATGGTACATAAGTGATAACCATGGCAGATATACATTTTAGTACTGCCCCTACTTAATAGGCGTTTACCTACTTTGACATAATACAGAAATTGTATCTCCTATTATAGATTACAATTACACTGTTAATTATCTCTTATTAGTTCGAAATCAAATGTAATTAGTATCTACAAATTGTTGTGTATATTAATTATAATCTAATGACATGAAATATTAGTACCTATGCTTATGATTATAAATATAGATAGGGTAGTCAGGGAAATTGTTAACTATCGCTACTGAAGCGAACGTAGGCCATAATGCCATTTCGCCGAGTTTATCTGTATTAAAATTTTCATCATCATCATTTCAGCCCGGAAAACGAGAAAGCAGTGTATACTGAACAAAGGCCTCCCCCAAACATCTCCCCGACGATCGGTCCTTCGCTGCTCGTATCCAACGCCTTCCAGCGATCTTGACCAGATCGTCAGTCTACCTTGCTGCAGGCCTTACCACGCTGCGCGGTACCCGATCGCCACTCAAGGACTTTCCATGGAGATCCATAGTTAGCGATCACGTCAAATGTGTTGTAAGTCGTCATTGGCAATAGACATTGGTCTTAAACCTACGTCTCGATATAGTATGGTAATTTTGACGAAAAGATATATCAGAGCTTCCCGAACGTTGCCCATCTGAGTTGGATTCAACGAATGACCTCTTTCTCAAAATTGGTTTGGAATTCAAATTTTATTACAGATTAAATATAAATATAAAAGAGAGAGAGAGAGCTAATCTTCTTAACATTCCATGAGTTCACCGGGTCCATCGTACAGTAGGGAGGCAATCTCCGAACAGTTCCCGAGACTCTTGACTCGGGTGTACGTTTAAGGATTACGGGAGACTAGGTTTAGGTCCTCCCTGCCCAAGTCTGGTAGCCTAGAAGCCTGCAAATGCTGCTATAGATTCAGATTCCAATTTAGAACTTACTGCAGTTTATTTACTTAAAACACAAAAAATATAATAATAATAATAACCCAGACCAATATAAACAATCATAATCATTAATACAAATAATTCACCCTGCGAGGAATTGACTCCGCGACCATGGAAATATAAGGCGATGTGCTGAACAGCTAGACCACCGAGGCCGTCTTTTATTTACCTATGTAGAAGTAGTGAGTGTTATTTATTTAATACAATTTGTATAAATTATTACTGTAGGTAGTAATAATTACTTTTCTTTCTCTATTCCATTCATACACCACCACTTTCCTCTATCCAAAAGTTAAATAAAAGAGATTCAGAAGGCATTTTAATCATTACTTTGAAACTTATGTGCTTTGTAATATATGTAATGCAATTGAGAACGAACAACTAAATAAATAAAAATCGTTCATTTGTAAAATTTATGTCATGTATTAGTTTATGGATTTGCGCATAAAGCACGACTTTTCAAAGGGGTGCCATAAGTAAGTGATCACTGTTGCCTGTAGATATCAATAATTATAAATACATATTACACCTGTAGTATGTAATATTATGTTATCTGTGCCTGCAGTAACACTCATACATCCATAAGGGCTAAGTTAAGATGCCTCCATACTCATTAATTTCGCTACCACAATTATTATATCGTTCAAAGAGCATGCAAAATTGTTCAACGGTAAAAATAAGTGTAACGAAGGTATTGATATAATATACGCTTTTTATTTATTAATCCAGGACTTATTACAGTAGAAATTTATAGTGGTGGATGTGAAATAAACGCACGTGGTGAATGCAAACGCAGAAAGAAAAGAAACATCGATATTTTTATTTACAACGTCCAACCAGTTAGAAAATGATTAACTCGGACAAGAGTAAATTAAAGATACTTCAAACTTTTGGACAAAATCATCATATATGTTCAAATTTTGAACATTCAAGGACGCATTCAATTATCTTTTTATTTAACAAAAAGTACATGCGAAAACGTATCCTTATGTATCAGTATATTTCTGTCTTAGATATCTTTACTTTAATCAGTTAAATATCACAAATTAACTCGCACATGTACGAATTAGCATAGAAAAAATCCAAAAGAACTTCAAACAATATTAACGTTAATATAATAATAACAAGCACTAAAGATTGACATTGTCGCAGAAAAGGAAATAACTGATTACTCCTTAAGAAATCCGCAAAAATGGTATAATTTATAAAATATTAATATTTAAACACACCTAATTATTACAAATTTGTTGCAATATTTTTAATTAAAAAAATATTCGGATACTGAAAAGTATAAGGGAAAACAACTTGTACCAGACCACAAAAGTAATTTTTAAAAGCCTTTTGTTCCATTTAATACTGCTGAAATTAGCATTTCTATTGTTCTTATAATTCCTGCTTTACTTATATTTGCGACCAGTTATTGTTACCCTCTGACCTCTTTTAACAAACTCTAATTTCAATTAAGAAGTATCATTGATAATAATTATAACTTTTATGAATAAATAATGTGGAATTAAATCTCAAAATTATTACATTACATAATTTTAATATAGAACATATTATTTTACACATAAAAAAGAAAGTTGAAAACAAAAGTAAGAAAAAAAATATTTTATTTTAATCTATATTAATATTATCTTAAATATATTACTGACCTGATCACGTCCTATAAAAAGCAGGAGGCATATATAAAAACACTCATGTCCCAGTAGTTTATCACTGAACACTACTCGACCATTACACTGCCACTAGATATACGAATCGCGTAAAAGCGTAATGTTATTACGACACATCTGTACCCAACAGTAGTCGGTAACAAACTGCGCTTTCAGTCGTTTCATGTTCCAAGTTTGAAATCGCACTCGGAAACTGTCGGCAAAGCTCGGGGTTAGTGCAACGCTTTTCAGGGTTGCCAAAGTACGAGAATCCTCATATAGATAAAAGATATTTGGTTTTCGATACGGAGATATCTTCCTTACTTTACAAGAATAAATATTTAAACTGTCTACGGATCAAAATACTACGATGTACGAGATTAAAGAGGTAAATTGAACGAATATACGACATTTTATAAACATTCGTATAAAGTTAAATGATTTACGGTTGGCAACCCTCCCACTTTCCTTATTTTCTGTGTCTTGGTATTTGTTGTACGGAATTTAAGCGAGCGACCACAGACAGATTGCACATATTTTCTTTAGTACCCCTTGCATAACTTTTCCCAATATGTAATATTACACTTACAAGTAATATTGAAAGGTTCGAGTCGTTTCGGATAGTAGTATATGGGGATTTATGAGAGTTGTAAAGATATATTTTCGTAATATGATATATTTGGTTGACCTTTTCCAACCATGTAATACAGGAAAACCACTATGGAATTACAGGGCACAGGAACATAACAAGTTTTATCAGAAATAAGAAGTGTAATGGATGTTAAAATATATTTTTTATATTCGTAATTCGTAAGCAATATTTGTTACGTTCCATTATGTGGGCAGCTTATATGCCAATTCAATATCAACATTGGGGATATGACATTTTAATCCTCCAGATAAATACATGATATCGTGATACCCGTGATACTCTTCATGTATATAGGCATTGATTACCACCTAGCATTGAGTAAGCCGTCATGCCATGACTGTATCGGTCTGGCTGTTTTCTATATATATGTCTACATTTAGAAAAGAAATATCTAAGAGTTACAGAAATATCTTAGAGTACAACTGATATACAGTTGTCTAGTACCCATAATAATAATAATATCTCAGGACAATTCACACAGCGCCATCTAGTCCCAAACTAAGCAGAGCTTGTGTTATTGGTACTAGACAAGTATTTTTTAGTAAATAAATACATAGAAAACACCCAGATTGATACAAACAATCATACTTATGAATACAAATGTTTGTACCGTACGAGGAATCGAATGCACGACTATCGGATAGTAAAGCGGTGTGCTAAACCACTAGACCACCGAGGCTGTCGTAACACAAGCTCTGTTTACATTGGGACTGGATGACATTGTGTCAAATGTCCAGGGATTATTACAGATATTATTATTATATTCATAAGGATTATAATGAAATAGTGCACCCGCCTGCACTAGCGGTTTACGCTGGCGGGGCACTAGTGCAGGATGATAAGATGAGCACGAGGTCAGGTCATTTAGATCGTGGTAAATTCACCATTAATTTATCACGATGGTTTCCAGGTTCCATTATGTAGAGGTCAACATGACGGGGTACATTACTAGCTATGGGGTTATTAGTCCACATTACTAACAATCCCCTTCCACCTATTATTATTATATTCAATGAATGTAATATGTAAGATGTTTTAATCATGAATTGTTTCTCCAAATGTCAATTCTCTCCATGTAAATACAAAGCATAGAGTCATATTGACCTAAATGTGTTACAAGATGTCATATATCCCGGTGCTTCTACATATCAGTATTGGACAATATACAACTGAGACTACCATATTGACAGCGTTGTGTGTACTTATTTTGAGTATAACTACAATATGTGTGTATTATGTATGAATAAAATTAATAACTTCATAAATAAAAATATTCTGCTTAGTTTTTAATAATTATTTTTTAATCATACGTTCCGCATAATAATTCAAATAGTTTTCTTCTCTTCACTACATAGTATAAAATAAAGTCGTTGTCACTGTCTGTCCGTCCCTATGTATGCTTAAATCTTTAAAACTACGCAACGGATTTTGAAGTCGGTTATTTTTAATAGATAGAGTGATTCAAGAGGAAGCTTTATATATATAATACATGTATATCGGTACGAAGCCGGGGCAAGTAGCTAGTTTATAATAAACAACAAAGCAGTAGTTTATTACATTAAAATAAAAGTATATTTATGTTCTTCGTGTGACATGATAAAGAAAAATATCATTACTTTTTTTTATTTTTAACATAAATATAATAAATGACTAAAATTCAATCGTCTATCTCGAAATACCTACAAACAAATTCGTGGCGGCACTGCTAACAATAGACTTGCCAAGATATTTGACGCCCATTGAATACGAAACTTAAATTGTGTTCGCCTTCATTAGGTTGCTAAGAAACAATAGATAAAAGGGCCCATTTAAAATAATTCTCCGATAAAATTGCTAACTTTTTATATTAAGGGGAGGTCAAACAATCTTTCATGTTCGAGCAGATACCTATTCAGAGGAACAAGAACGGTGCGCTTTATGAAAAGTTCGCTCCTTTTGAACTTTTGTTGGGAGACTCAGCCGTTTCGGACTCACTTAGCCGTTTTATGTCTTAGAAATATTCTTTTACATGGACATTTATTATAATAATTTTTAAATTCCTTTGAAGACTACACAATGTAAATTAGAAACCTTACACAAAATTCAATCATACAGAATTTCATGGAAATAATAATATTTTAATTTTTTTATAGATTTACAATTTTCTTCAAAAAAAGGTTAATAACGATAAAATGTTAAAATTTATTTATAAGTTACCCTTTTTTTATGTCTAACACAGTGAAGTGAACAGTGAATCAAGTCTGATGTTTCTATATAGTTACATAATTTAAGTGACTCAAGAAAAGAGAGTTCTTTGTCAATCAGCTATGTCCACCTATGTAATAATGGAACCAATGCGATAGTTAAGTTGTAATATAATTTTCTAGATTTAGTTTTTCCTAAACCCTAATTAACCAATTTCAGCGATTCACTTCTTCTTTGTTTTGGTCTATTATTTTAATTTAAATGAAAATTACGAAGGTAGCGGATAGCTAAATTCAAGTAAAGGTGTGGCAGAGTTATTGTATTTATAAAAGGAAACAACTATCTAATAAAAGTTCTTAATTAAAGTTTGCTCTTACTTGTTTAACTTAAGTAACTATATATTCTAAAAAGAATTACTATTTATTTATAGATAAAAAACAAAGAACAAGACCGGTGAAAATGTTGACTCTACATCTTAAACATATGTTAAATATTTAGCAATTTTCTGTACATGTTCAGAAGTCTTTAATATTAGTTTTATTGAAATTATAGTTTGTATAGGTACCTCAGTCTCACCTATTTTAGCCACTAAAAAGTTTACTTTGTAAGCTGTATTTATTTTATTGGAATAACCACGCATGAATGTCACATGTTAACGTGATGTCCGTAGTGATGTTCATGTATATAGGCGACGATTACCGTTTACCATCAGGTGGTCGTTAGCTACAGTGGGCTGTACCATTCATTACAAAAAAAGAGGTATAGGTACTATCATTAGCTTTTACCTGCGATGATTTTTATGTGCGCGTGACCTGGATATATTGTTTAATAGGAACAAAGTGAATTAGTAATTTGTATTAACAACATTTTTAATTAAAATGTAATGTTCATAATTTATTTAAAGATGCAACAGACAAGTTTCATGCTCATTCTTCTTGGCTGAATCTGCATTCAGAGAATGAGCGGTAAAATTAAGTTTATTTTAAGAATATTTCTATTCCATTGTAAATTGGCTTGGTTGTTTACTACTCCGACTTACATTCAAAAGATCGTGAAATTCAAATCTAGCTGATACCAAAAACAACTTTATGTGTCAATTTACATTTTTGACTGACTGTACTCATACTCACACTCTGTACTCATACGTAACATTAAAAAAATATTTATATATTTTTTTAAATATATTTATATTTTATTAATTAAACAATATAAAATAAAAGAAGTTTAATAACATGTAAAGACCATGCTAGTGAAAATACATCAATCAATGTTGCATTCGGGTGAGAGAAAAAAGGCATATTTCCGGGTAATTCGGTCTTGTAAGTATTGCTGTGGACTATTTATTAGACCTATACCTAAACAAGTAGTCGCCTAGTGGACCATAATTAATATAAATTAAAATTTTAAATATTATTAAGATTAGATTGCTAAAAGACTATACTTGTGTGTGTCAAATACAGATTAGTGTGTTTAATGTTTTTTTTTATTGATTTTATGTAATTTTTCTATGTTAATTTAAAAATAAAATATGTAATTCTGCATCTCTATCTAAATTATAAATGTGCGAAATTTTATTTCCTCGATCCGCACAATGTTTATTAAAACTCCCTTTTATAAAAATTGTGTACATAAAAAAAACATGTTTAATCCGAGCAACGGTATTAGTCTCGCCGCTTTCACATCAAGTGTTGCGTTCACTACGACCTACATTTACCTGTACCTCTGACTATCCCATCTGGTATAACATTCGTAAAAATATTATTGTCAGAAAATAACCTACTGATGTTGTATTGTCTACGTCAATTTATTACTTTAAATCGACGCCGTTTGGAGACCGATTTGATTTTGAAATATTGGTCGTTATCCCATTACGCCTGTACCACTCCGTTTTGGGGGAATCGTTCACGGCACGCGAGGGTTCCGTGCCGTTTTGCGATATAAAATTGTCTTACGATTTAACCTTCTATTACTGGAATTGAATCACTTAAGCTAGTCAATTTGTGTTTACTTTTATCGCGTTGCTAGGAATGGGTATATAACGTAAATTTATTTATATTTACATTACTGATGTCATAAATATAAAAGAGTAGAATTCTTCTTTAATTTTATTAATTTGCTTCTTATATTTTGGCTTTTTAAAATATCAAGTTATCGTTATGTAAGGAACAAGATGATGAGGTTGGAAGTAAAAACTATCTATGTATAAAAGGAAATAATTGTACTAAAATTTATGATCTCGATTATTTCGTACGTTTCCTTTTTTTTCTACGTCGCCGGTTGGATGTCCCTATACAATACAAATAGTTTTAAAACATACATACTATTACTGAATTACAAAACATCCATACAACGCCTTTTAATCAATGTTATATCATAAAAATAGCATAATATATAATAATTGCAATAATTTCCCCATTTGTAGAGGTGTGTTTTCCCATATTTTACTCTTTTGTTATGGATTTTATTTATGATGAAACATCAAATTACAAAAATAAATATATACTTTTTTAATGACAATTCACGTGAATTGAAAAGTATAAAATAAGTAAACGTAAAAAAACAACTAAAGCTAGCAGTTCTTGCTTGAAAAAAATATTTTTTTTATTAGGTATTTTACGGCCCTGGATATTTCCTTTCAGCCAAACAATTACATTCTATAAATACAAATCAGCTATTAATTACTAGGTACATCGAAAAAAATATTGCCAGTGACTGAAAATTGACCTACTAGCATATTTCGATTTATCTACTACTAAAACAGATAAAAACTATTTCATCAGGTTTCGCCTAAAATAACATTTCATTTAGTGTCTTTGTCACATTATTATGTCATTAACATATTTGACGCGTACCTAACCTAATTTAAAATTACATTATATTCTTAATTTCGATTATAAAATGTGCGACAATAGAATGAGCTCGGAAAGAGAGCTATTAGACGCTATAAAGGATCTTTTGAAGAAAAATGGCCACTTGAATAAATTACAAGCGGAGGTAATTAACTATTAATACCACTCGCCAATTGTTTTGAACCTTAATACGTATTTTTCGTATTTATAATTAAACTACCGATCCGTCCCGGTTTCGCACGGATGCATTAGAAATCTTTGAATTTCTTAACTTCTTCTATACTATAACATGCATGTATTATACATATAAACTTCCTCTTGAATTACTTTACGTATTACTGAAAACTGTATTAAAATTCGTTGAATAGTTTAAAACATCTAAGCAAACAGACAGCGGAAGCGACTTCATGATACATTATACACTATGTAAAAATATATACTTCTAATTTAAATTTATCCCGACTGCCGAATAAACGAAAGTATTATTTTCCAGTTAAGAAGACATTATTTTAGAAGTTTTATTTAAAAATATAGGGTATTTACACTAAGTCAAGTAATTAAGTAGACATATGCTTACTTTCATGTAAATTCAAATACTAGTGTCGTAGAACCCAAAGTCTTTCAGCTTGATATTGATGTAATAAAGAATATAATTATAATAATATATGAAACTTTAATTTAATGTCCTGACTTATAAATGGAAAAAAAATACCCATGTTTCAGGAGTCAATGTCTTCTCCTATATCATTGTATTTGTGAAAAAGGATTTATTTTTACTTTTTATAACAACATTACATTTCATAATAGAAGTTAGGTAAATATTTAATATTTTTTGTAGAAGTTGAAACCGCTAGTCTTTCAGAAATGTAAATATATTAGTTGTTGTTTCTTAGTAAATAACATGTAGTCTCGAGACCTTCTCTTGTCTTACTTAGTAATTATTAAGTAAACTCTGGTTCTATATAAATTATCAGACTTGAGAATCCGGTTGCGCATTAACCACAACCCACCAGCCGCACACTGAGCTCGTGATGGATGAAGCCTTATCTAATTTTAACTTTCTCCAAAATAGATGCTCTTGCGTCTGAGAACTCTAATTTTATTTTTAAACCAGAAAGGCGTTACACTTTGCACGAGTGTATTTATTGTAGAAATCGCTACTTTAAAGTAAAAATTGCTCTATGTATTAATGAGAAACTTCATATGATCTATTATTCCATTCATTTAGGTATATCTTTAAGTTAAATATCTTCTGTATAACCTTTAATAATTACTTGAATAATAAACATATACATATTATATATCATATGAAACTGGCTGGCAACAGACAAACTGCCTTGCTTCGGATGTTCCCCTCCGATCGAAACCCCGTCCAATTCAAAACAAGGATCGATATTACGACGGCCTGAGCCGAGGTTCGAATCCCTAGCGGTGCCCTCAAACTAAAGTCGTTTCTGTCAGGCGGGAGTTGGCGTTCTGCCGCACCATGCGGCCAGATGGTTCAATTCCTCCTATGATGCAATATATCTGTATTTACAAAAGAAAACAGTATTTCCATAAATGGTACAGAACCCATAACACAAGCATTGCTTAATAAACATAAATTGTTATATGTAAATGTATTGGTTATGCATGTGCAATTATAAACAAATAATACATTTTCTAGAACTTAAAGCTTATAGCAACTAATATGTACCTACGTAAGTACTATTTATAAAATACTGACTTTTATCTTGATAGAATTAGTATAGAAGAAAAAGATTGAGATAATCAGTATGTTGATGTTGATTATTTCAATATTTTACATCAGCAAAGTACCCGCGTATTAGTTATACACAAAATCAGTTGAATTGAAAATATCCTTACTTTTAAACCGTCGAAAATAAAAAAAAATCTATTGAGGTTGAAATGGGAAGTGATCCAACTTAGTAGCAACTTTATATTCGTAAGAGGCTGCATGGCCCTTTGATACTCTCAATTTACGCTTTGGCTAGTTGCCTACAAACAGCCAACTCTTACCGTTTATAGTTCTCAATTTATTTTCTTTCCTCAGAGAATCTGTTTTGAAATTCCCCACTGTTTTCAGAAAATGTGGTAATATAAAATTTTCTATTTATGAAACGAGTGTCAAGATTGTCTTAAGTGTGTGTGTGTTTTTTTTATTCACAAATAACTAAACGAAACCTAACGAAAAGCAGGCTTGGCACCAAAATAACCGTCACCTATTAACTTTCATTCATATTGCATGCATAATAATAATAAATCAAAAATATTTATTGCAACTACATAAATGCATATGTATATTTGTACATTATATTATATATTTATAAAAAGTATCGAAAAATTTTAAATACATGAATTTTTGAAATTATATTGAAAATCGTATCAAAATATGTTGGGTGGCTTACGAGAAATAAACTTAGACATAGAAAGCTAAAATTAACGTTATTGCTTTTTGCTTTTACTTACTATAAGATCAATATGGCATGATGTACTGCTATGATATATTTGGAATACAAAATACAATTATATTATTAATATAAAATTAGTTATTATCCGCTTGAAGGATTATTTTTCATAACTTTCCTTGTCTTATAATACCTATTGACTATACTTAACAACTTAATCTGTGAAAATTTTACAGAAATTACTTCAGTGATTTTTACGTGAAAGCTACACAAACAGGCAGTGTTAATTTAATCATGATTTTACAATTGTAATATTTCTAAAGATATATGAATAAAGTATATTTTCTATAGAAATAGAGTAGCCATTTTAATTTTTATCTCATCGTTCATTCTTTGATTTGTTCTTCTTACTTTCAAACTAAGATGAATACAGTTCGAAAAGGAATTTAAGTACGCCTTTGTAACCTCGATGAAATGGAACTAAAACGTAAAACCCGATCACTAGACAAAGCTTTTCAATTTACAGATGCGGGCAAAAGTAACAGAAGTTCTTCAAGAAAGACAAGTTCTGAACTCCGGTGACAGGAGGTCTGCCCCATCCCCGACTGAAGAGGTGCTCCTGGTCAATGAGCTAGTAAGAGAGTATTTGGAATGGAATGGGTACCTCTATACTGCATCGGTTATGGTTTCAGAGGCAGCGATGCCTAATGACAAGAAGAAGAGGTCCCAACTGTGCTCTGAGGTTGGAGTGAGAGATGACGAGAAATCATCCTCTCTCCCTTTACTTTCGAACATCGTAGCTGCATATACGGAACGTATTAAACGTAAAATAAACAAGTGTAAAAAGGATTTCAATTGATCATGCTAAACCTGATTTTTTTTTTATAAAATTCTCTATTGTTTTTGATAATAAAAAAAAATATATCATTTTATAAAATAACTAATGGCGTTTACATTCCTTATAAAAAATCACTCCTCTCTTTATAATACCTTTATAAAATTTTAGAAAATAATTATTAAGCCTGGTACTGCAGAGTCTAAATGTATTTTTAATTTGCGGGCCCTAATGTTGTTGAAAATACTGTCATTTTATTATTATACGTACATTTCGAAGTTATAATAAATTCTAAAATTTCTTAAAAGTCTGTAAAGCATGTTTTAGATTTTTATACATTCCGTTGTGTTTCATTATAATATCTACGCTGAACATATAATAAACTTTATAGAAAATTATGTTTAAAAAATAACTAACTTACATCATACTGCCTTGTCTGAATTAATGTACTTTCTTCTTGACTTTAACAAAAATAACTCGCGACTGCGTCGTATTTTTGCAAAGTTATGCTGGAATAAGAAACATAGCTCTCGCTTAAGATGGATAACGTCTTTTCTGCTTAGTTCAAGTAAAATAACACACGTCAGCTGTTATAACAAAGACTTAAACTGCTACCTATCTTATTATGGAGGAAAATAATATAAACAATAATATAACAAATATATACCTATTATATATGTTTGGCATCTAGATCTGTTAGTTATTACATAATCCTAGATTTCCAAGTTCGCTCAAAATGTATTACGGTACAGCTTAATGTTCACATATAGGTACTCGTATTTTCATGACATTTCAGATTGTAGCGTTATTGTAACAAGGTTTAATTTTCTGTATACATATTTGAGAAATTAAAATGAGGCTACACAATTCGATATTATACAAATACATGTCAGTTCAATTTAAAAATAAAAGGGCTCGCGTTACGAGTATAGAATTATACCCATATTTTTTATCAGTATTGATTATACTTACGTATAATCAATGTAGTTAGTAGATTAGAAATAAATTATCAAACGATGTAATATTGTTAGATATATGAGTGATTACTGACTCTGTCTGCACTTTAACAATTCTCTACTAACATGTTTAGAATATATTTAGTATTGGACATATGTGTATTGGGAATATAGACTACTTTTTAATTTAAATAATCGGAATATTCCTGTTACGTGGCCAATATTGCTGGTATACCTGCAATATATATTAAACAAAATGTATAGTACATGAATCCATTTTATTCCAAAACTAGTAGTGTGGTTGATTCCTCGCACACATTTTTTGTATAAGTTTGAATGTATTATTTGGATGTTCTACATATACTAGATATGTGTTTATGTATTTACATCAGTTGTTTAGCACCCATAACACAATCCTTTGCTTGGGATTAGATGGCGCTGTGTGAATTGTCCTGCATTATTTATATTATAATTTTTAATTTTGATATAAAGTACATTTACGTATATATATATTTATATATTAAAACATCAATGCACAAATATACAAATAAAGGTGCACGTGGCGGACTTAACACTTCAGGGTATATTCTACCAGTCTACCATTAGGTAAACAGAGATTTATATGGGCGGTGCATTACCAAAATTAAAATTCAAACGTAAAAGAAGATAATTGTGAATGTTTTTAAACATACTTATATAAGGCAGGTATTTATAAGAAGGTACTAATTATTTCGTTCTAAATCGATTAACCGTAAAAATGATCGCTTCTTCCGCATTCATTATTAAAAATCAAACGCCGTACAAAAAGCAATGTCGACATTTATTTTGTGCAGATAGGATGACCTTAAAAAGAAACAGGTCAGTGGATTCGAAAACACGAGGAAAAAATATTTAGGAGGGAAGCACCTAAATGTATTTAAAGGGTCTTAATGTTTGAACATCTAACGAATCTGCGAAGAATATTATACGCAAAGAATTTGCCCGTTCTTATACCCTTATTTGAATCAACTAGACACTTGAATGTTATTTGAATGACAAATTAAATTTAGTATTAAAAATTTTACAAAAATCACCTTTTTATTAGTTGAAATAGAAAACAAGTCAGCGGTCCTCCTGATAATGGTAATCGACGCCTATGTACATGACCAGTACTACGGACATCACGTTATCATGTGACACCCATATCACACATGTGTTGTCATTTCGAAGGACTAAGATGTCACTATAATTTCAATGCATCTCACTCTATAACCGAAATACAGAATACAAAGCATCTGCAGAAATTCTGCAGACAGCTTGCTGCTGCGGCTACGTAGACGACTTTATACAAAGTGTAAAATATGAAGACACGAAATCTTCATATTTTATGAAATTGAAATGACAAAGAATTGAACGGTCCACCACAATACCTCATGAAAAGTGGCATCGTTAAGCAGCACTATGATCTTTAGGGAGTAGTACATACGTTGTTAATAATATACTCATTACCAGCTGTACCGCGACTTCGTCCGCGTGGAATTTAACTTTATTTTTCTAAATTAAAAGTAACCTAAGTTACTCCTTATTACATCAGCTAGCTGCCAAAAAAAGTTCCGTCAAAATCGATTTCAGAGATTAACTGGAACAAACAGACCGACAGACAGGCAGACAAAAATTATAAAAAATGTTATTTTGGTATATGTACTGTTTATACATTCATAAGCATGTAGTAAAAAACGGTTATTTCAATATTGTAATATTGAAATAACCGTTATAACAGACACTCCAACTTTATTTATATGTATAGATTGTATAAATAAACGTGTTTTATTAGGTAACTTGTGGTAGTTTTAAGAGAATGTATTATTTTGTAATTTTATAATTCGTGGTTGTGATAACTCACATATATTTCTACTTTGTATCATGTAATTCTTTATTTATTCAATACGAGTAACTTTATGGCCTATATAATATATATTATTCAGACTAACATACATATAAAATAATAATAATGTTGTTTTTGTGGTTATGATTATAAGAAAAAAAAATCAGTAATCTCCGCCCTTTCTTATGTTCAATCAAAGGAAACTGTTCAACTGAATCATGAAAAATGCATAAATAGAAAAGCGCTTATGGATTTCGCATAACTAAATTGAAATACTTTGACCATAGAGATCGGAATAAGAACAGATGTTCTTTGCATGCAAATGATACTGTCATGGATGTAGTACGTACTCCTTATAAACGGTGTACAATGTCCGGATAAAGGAACAATCTATTCGTTGCTCTGGTTCAGTTTGATAATAATGAACCTGTCAGTCACACAAGATATTGCGTATATCACAAAGGCGTATTTATTACACAAATACATTTATAATGGGACACTGCAATATGTCTACCTACTACAATTAATGTTTATAAATCAGTTGTTTGTTAAACGATAAATATAGCTTCCATAATGTTGAAAGAGACTAAAAAAACTGAAAATACTCATTCGGTTTCCTTTTTTTTACTTTACATCAAACAGAGATAAACGAACATGTTTCTCATCTAATGGTAAGTAAATACTAGAGGTTTTACAGAAGGAAGATATTTTGTTTAGCTGTTATTTTATGTAAAGCAAATGTAATATTAAATATCTTCCTATTTTAAACAGATTTCAATTAGGTATGTATGAAACATTTAATAGGTACAGTCCCAAACCTCTTGGCTTATTTAAAACGACGGGCTTTGTTATGTAACGCAATTACGTTCTTTTCTTGAACATCTTACTGCCATATCAGATTTTAAACTACTCTAATTATGATATCTACTACCCTAAAAAAATCTAAATAATTTAGAATATTGTTATATATACTACAACAACTTCTGACAATAATATTTTTTTTTAATTTAATCGGAACTAAACGTCTAATATTAATTTCAATAGCTTCGAAACGGAATTAAATTTAAATTGCTTCGAATAGATGTAATTTAGCCACTAGTAATCGCTATAGAGTTCATTCAGATCTCAGTGACATTCCAAGTTTGAATGGACCGTATTCAAGCATACCATTAAACATCTTTTATTTGATTTAGATTTGCGTTCCAATCGCCCAGCAGGTTATTCGATTTCCATCACATGTAATTCGATTCAAACGAGTTACCAAGTAAGCTTAACCTTGCAATAGCTAGCTAGCTTTACCAAATTAACGACGCTCAATTGTGTCCGTGACAAATGATCGTTGCTTTTGTACTGTAATGAGAACATAGTCCTGCCATTGGAGCTAATGGAGTAGAGTTATCGCTGGAACATTAGTCCAGGACTGAGACTCTCCTGTCACAACTCAATAAGATTATATACTCACGTACAGTTCATTAATTGAATGGCCTCTGTGAATGATCCTTCTCGAAGGACCAAAAATTATATATAAATCATAGTTTACTTCGTGGAGACAAATAACGCGTTAGTTATAGTTTCTCATGTGTGTATCAATAATATAGATTATATAAAAGAAAACTACATCAATTATGTTTATTTACTAATTATTTATTGCATTAGAACTGAACTGTGAATTCCATAAGAAGGTACAAAGTACGGACTTATCTCCCAAACAAACTCTTCCAGGCAGATATTATATATTTTTTCTGAAATAATATGTTTTAAATAATATTATAATACTTCTAGATAATTAGAGATTTAGGTATGATATATGTTATTAAGTAATATATTGTTAACAATTGGTAATCAAATATTATAAGTCCATTTCGATGTTATTATAATAGTTGGGATTCTATGGAGGCCATTATTTGTGTCGTTGATTCTTAATGCTCATATAACGGGCTATCAGTGAATGGCTCTCATCTCTCAGTTCAAATTGAATTGTCTGCCTTACCCGAAATCGCGCGTGAGGCTATCCCAAATCTCTCTAACTCGATCCCGCATATGAGTACCTTAAATATAATTATACGGTATTATTGTATGACTAACATTGCATTGCTATACTTCTTTTATGTAATGCATATTATTAATTAAAAGTTTTTCTTCTAACATCAGGGCAACGACATTCTTAGTATTGGAGCTCTAGACTCTTTGCTTACAATCTATCAGATCAACATTAAATCATATTTATTGAGC